CCTTTGTTAGTGTTTCTATAGTTAAAATGTGTCACAATCCAATGCATTTGACTAATAATAAGAGTTAAAGATGGATTACGAGTGTTTAGACAACACTTATATCCATTTTCTCCAAAAAAAGGCTAAAACCAACAAAACATTGCTTAGAAGCATTAAACAGCTTTGTTAGTGTTTTATGGTCAAAATGTGTCACAATCCAATGCATTTGACAAATTATAACGGTTATAGATGGATTAGGAGTGTTTAGACAACACTTATACCCAATTTCTCCCAAAAGAGGCTAAAACCAACAAATTATTGCTTAGAAGCAGTAAATAGCGTTGATAGTGTTTCTATGGTAAAAATGTATCACAATCCAATGCATTTGACTGATTATATAAGTTAGAGTTGGATTATGGGTGTTTAGACAACAGTTATTCCCATTTTCTCTCAAAAGAGGCTAAATCCAACAAAAAATTGCTTAGAAGCAGTTAATACCTTTGTTAGTGTTTCTATAGTTAAAATGTGTCACAATCCAATGCATTTGACTAATAATAAGAGTTAAAGATGGATTACGAGTGGTTAGACAACACTTATATCCATTTTCTCCTAAAAAAGGCTAAAACCAACAAAAAATTGCTTAGAAGCATTAAACAGCTTTGTTAGTGTTTTATGGTCAAAATGTGTCACAATCCAATGCATTTGACTAAATATAAGAGTTAGAGATGGATAAGGAGTGTTTAGACAACACTTATACCCATTTTCTCCTAAAAGGGGCTAAAACCAACAAAAATTTGTTTAGAAGCAGTAAATAGCTTTGTTAGTGTTTCTATGGTCAAAATGTATCACAATCCAATGCATTTGACTGATTATATAAGTTAGAGATGGATTAAGGGTGTTTAGACAACACTTCTTCCCATTTTCTCCCAAAAAAGCTACAACCAACATATTATTGCCTAGAAACTGTAAATAGATTTGTTAGTATTTCTATGGTCAAAACGTGTCACAATCCAATGCATTTGACTAATTATAAGAGTTCGAGATAGATTAGGAGTGTTTAGACAACACTTATACCCATTTTCTCCTAAAAGAGGCTAAAACCAATAAAAAATTGCTTAGAAGCAGTAAACAACTTTGTTAGTGTTTTTATGGTCAAAATGTGTCACAATCCAATGCATTTGACAAATTATAAGGGTTATAGATGGATTAGGAGTGTTTAGACAACACTTATACCCAATTTCTCCCAAAAGAGGCTAAAACCAACAAAATTTTGCTTAGAAGCAGTACTTAGCTTTGTTAGTATTTCTATGGTAAAAATGTATCACAATACAATGCATTTGACTGATTATATAAGTTAGAGGTGGATTAGGGGTGTTTAGACAACACTTATTCCCATTTTCTCTCAAAAGAGGCTAAAACCAACAAAAAATTGCTTAGAAGCAGTTAATAGCTTTGTTAGTGTGTCTATAGTTAAAATGTGTCACAACTAATGCATTTGACTAATAATAAGAGTTAAAGATGGATTAGGAGTGTTTAGACAACATTTATATCCATTTTCTCCTAAAAGAGGCTAAAACCAACAAAAAATTGGTTAGAAGCATTAAACAGCTTTGTTAGTGTTTTTATGGTCAAAATGTGTCACAATCCAATGAATTTGACTAATTATAAGAGCTAGAGATGGATAAGGAGTGTTTAGACAACACTTACACTCATTTTCTCCCAAAAGAGGCTAAAACCAAGAAAATTTTGCTTAGAAGCAGTAAATAGCTTTGTTAGTGTTTCTATGGTCAAAATGTATCACAATCCAATGCATTTGACTGATTATATAAGTTAGAGATGGATTAGGGGTGTTTAGATAACACTTATTCCGATTTTCTCCCAAAAAAGCTACAACCAACATATCATTGCTTAGAAACTGTAAATAGCTTTGTTAGTGTATCTATTGTCAAAACGTGTCACAATCCAATGCATTTGACTAATTATAAGAGTTAGAGATAGATTAGGAGTGTTTAGACAACACTTATACCCATTCTCTCCTAAAAGAGGCTAAAACCAACAAAAAATTGCTTAGAAGCAGTGAACAGCTTTGTTAATGTTTTTATGGTAAAAAAGTGTGACAATCAAATGCACTTGACTAATTATAAGAGTTAGAGATGGATTAGGAGTGTTTAGACAACACTTATACCTATTTTCTACCAAAAGAGGCTAAAACGAACAAAACTGGTTTAGAAGAAGTCAATAGATTTGTTAGTGTTTCTATCGTCAAAATATGTCACAATCCAATGCATTTGACTAATTATAAAAGTTAAAGATGGATTAAGAGTCTTTAGACAACACTTATACTCATTTTCTCCAAAAGAAAAACAAAATATTGCTTAGAAGCAGTAAATAGCTTTGTTAGTGTTTCTATGGTCAAAATATGTCACAATTCAATGCATTTGACTAATTATAAGAGTTAGATATGGATTAGGAGTGTTTAGACTACATTTAGACCCATATTCTCCTAAAAGAGACTAAAATCAACAAAAAATTGGTTAGAAGCATTAAATAGGTTTTTTAGTGTTGTTATTGTCAAAATGTGTCACAATCCAATGCATTAGACTAATTATAAGAGTTAAAAATGGATAAGGAGTGTTTAGACAACACTTATACCCATTTTCTCCCAAAAGAAGCTAAAACCAACAAAAAATTGCTTAGAAGCAGTAAATAGCTTTGTTAGTGTTTCTATGGTAAAAATGTATCACAATCCAATGCATTTGACTGATTATATAAGTTAGAGGTGGATTAGGGGTGTTTAGACAACACTTGTTCCCATTTTCTCTCAAAAGAGGCTAAAACCAACAAAAAATTGGTTAGAAGCATTAAACAGCTTTGTTAGTGTTTTTATTTTCAAAATGTGTCACAATCCAATGAATTTGACTAATTATAAGAGCTAGAGATGGATAAGGAGTGTTTAGACAACACTTACACCCATTTTCTCCCAAAAGAGGCTAAAACCAAGAAAAAATTGCTTAGAAGCAGTAAATAGCTTTGTTAGTGTTTCTATGGTCAAAATGTATCATAATCCAAAGCATTTGACTGATTATATAAGTTAGTGATGGATTAGGGGTGTTTAGACAACACTTATTCCGATTTTCTCCCAAAAAAGCTACAACCAACATATTATTGCTTAGAAACTGTAAATAGCTTTGTTAGTGTATCTATTGTCAAAACGTGTCACAATCCAATGCATTTGACTAATTATAAGAGTTAGAGATAGATTAGGAGTGTTTAGACAACACTTATACCCATTCTCTCCTAAAAGAGGCTAAAACCAACAAAAAATTGCTTAGAAGCAATGAACAGCTTTGTTAATGTTTTTATGGTAAAAAAGTGTCACAATCAAA